TGACCTCATAAAAGTTATTTCTGATTATAGACAGCTGCAATTGAGATCAGAATAAATAATGAACTAGAAAAGTAACTTTTCATCAGTTTTATAGGGAATGTGTTTGGAAGAATGGCAGATCGCAATGAAAAATGTGTAGTAATTTATATGGGGGAAAAATTGCCTTAACTTGCTGTATGTTATACAAATATAAATGGCATTCTCTTCAAACTTCTTAAAGTATCCAACTGAGACTCAGTATGATTCTGGTGAACTTTTTGTTAGCACTAAATGATACATAAATATTTAAAAAGATGAGTCTAGTGACATGCCTAATTTATTGAGATTTTTTTATTGGCTTATTATGCATAAAGTACACCAACTTCAGGAACAGCACTTTCACTAGTTGCAAACAGTAAATATATCTAGCAATCATATGTAAACATCTTTAATATGTATTAGGTATTTAATGTTATTGAAAACTTAGGAAATTAGTGCATTTATTAAATTGCATATAGGATTAATACTGAATGATGTGATGGGGAACTGCTGCATCATTTACTATTTCTCTGTTCTGCAATTAAATTAAGCATGGGAGTGGTATTAGCTTGACTCTCAGGAACAGTTATATTTCATGTTGTTGTTGTTTTTCCTTGTCAGCTGGGTCTGCCAGAGGGCCATAGCTCCACAAGGGAACCTGAAGCGATCAAAGCAATCGCTGACTTTTAAAGTTTCCATCTAGAATTCTGCAGCAGTATTGCTTTCTAAAGGAGACTGATCTTGAACAGGATAGTTTCATATTTACCAACTTTGCTTTAAAATTTTTGTTGCAGAAACTCTTCCAAGATGAATATTTATACTACTCATGCCACAGCTGTACCGAATTCCTGATGTAACAAATATTTATCTTCTGTGTTTGTGTGAGATTTGGTGGGAAAAATCTGCTGAAAATACCGTAATGAAATGGCCGTCTCCCCATTTCATGAGGATGGTAAATTAGTTGTTAGTTATTTACTTTAGAAGTTGCAGAGGTGGCAGTGTTAGGGATTATACAAACACAGAGGCCTTCGTCACATTGAGCTTGTCATCTAAAGTCTCAGTTTTGCAAATATATATGTGTTTGCTTAGCTTAACTATTACAAGTAATACTATAGTGATATTAAAATACAATGATAGGGCAGATCACACACAAAAGATACAGAGCAGATGAAAAAGCAAGCAATAAAAAGCCTCCAGTTAATACGTTGGCTATATGTTAAACCTATATTGCATAGTCATTCTTTTGTTATGATTAGAAAGTAACTTATCTTGATTTGAAATCCTGTTAATATATTTTGCCCCCAAATAGATCAATTTAATTAATACAAATATTCAGAATACATGCTCTTAAGTGCTGTTTTTCTTTGTATTACTCTCTACATAAATTAAATGAGAAAGCTTATGAAGGTCAGGCATGAAATGTGTAAGCAGTTATAACTAAAACTGGAGCTTACGTGAATGACAAAAAATAGAACTGCAGTTAACAAAGATACTAATATATATATCAGATACAGACAATGCAACCCATGGCATGGTCTCTTCATTTCTAATTGATATTAACACTCAAGCCACAGATCTTCTTTGTATTTCTGGATTAAATGCATCTCACTGTGTTTTCCTATGCTGAATATTTTATTAAGCATAAGCTCTAATTCCACATGCAGCTCAAAACTTCTGAGAGTAATAAAAATTTCAGTAGTGATGCTTAATGTCAAAACCGATACTCATCTGGAAGATGATGCATTGTGGATGACTGGTGGAATTCTGGTTGGTGAATCTAGTTGGTTGAATACTTTGGGTTGGAAGGAACCTTAAAGGTCATCTAGTTCCAACGCCCCTGCCATGGGCAGGGACATCTTCCACTAGACCAGGTTCACCAAACCTGGCCTTGAACACTTCCAGGGATGGAGCATCCACAACTTCTCTGAGCAGCCTGTTCCGGTGCCTCACCATCCTCACAGAGAAGAATTTCTTCCCTATATTTAATCTAAACCTAACCTTTTTCATTTTAAAGTCATTACCCCTTGTCCTATCACTATATGTCCTTGTAAAAAGTCCCTCTCCACCTTTCCTGTAGGCCCTCTTCAGGGGAAGGCTGCTGTAAGGTCTCCCTGGAGCCTTCTCTTCTCCAGGCTGAACAACCCCAACTCTCTCAGCCTGTCTTTGTAGCTCCCTGATCATCTTCATGGCCCTCCTCTGGACTTGCTCCAACAGGTCCGTGTCCTTCTTATGTGCAGGGGCCCCAGAGCTGAATACAGTAAAGTTATGTTCCATAAATATTGATACAATGCTCATGATGTTTCCATATACTTTGGGTCTTGGTTGTTTATTTCTTTTGTAACTTGTTGAGCAAACCTGATTCCTGTGTGTTTCTTCAGGTTTTGTCAGTCATTTAAGCCTGTGCTTTCAGCAGTTTATCTTTCTATTTAGATGTCTACTTCTCCCTCCCCTCCATGATGAGAAGTAGTGATTTCTGATTTTGGGAACATTAGTATGGGCTTACAAATTCAGCTGTGGCAGAAGCTTAATTTGGTGCTTACACTTTCTAAGGCAGTAATGTGAATTAGCTTGAGGTACAAGCCTCTGGTACAAGCCACAGTATTTATGGAAGTTATCGTTATGTGGAACGATTGGTCTGCTGCTGGGATTTATTGAATACAGCAAAGATACCTTCAACTTTCTTGGACTTTGAATCAGAGGGAGATAGCTGAGAGGGAAGGGGAGGGAAAATTACTCTCTTCCTTTTGAGAGTCATCTGGATGGAAGTAAGCAAATAAGAAACAGCCTTTGCCCTTCTGGAGAAGTGGCTGCAGGCAAGGCAGCGTACCCCAGGGCATCTGGAAGCGTACTTGACATAATTCCACGCAAGGCCTGGCCCTAAATGTGTATCAAGAAGTACCAGGCTGCTTACTTTGATAACACCTCTGGAGCTGCCAGTTTCAAAGCTACGCAAATATTAGGAAGCACACATGGATGAAGCATGCTCAGCCGTCTTCCACTTCACCGTCAGCAGCTTTGACCTGTGTTCTCTGTTCACTGGGCCTTGTCCATGCTTGCAGCTGTTATTTCCTGTGTTTATGCAGGATTACTGTACTGTATATAACATACCCTGGCCTGCTTGCAAACTTTACAGCAAGCCAAGTGGATGGTGTATAAATATGCTTGTGTACAAATACCTGGTAATGTTAGTATTCCTCTTAGATTCTCATCCGTCCTTATCTACTTTCTTTCTTGTACATTCAAGCTTGTGGTTACCTTTTTTTTCCCCCTCAAATTTGCTCACATACATTCACTCACCTTTCCCTTTCTGCCTCTGTCACATACAGTATCCATAATGTCCAAGAATCATTCTTCTTTCTCTAAATCTGTTTTCTGCAACTGTCATTTTTCCAGGGAAGAACACAGCCTCTATTTAAAGTCATCAAGGATGTTGCATGAAAGGCAACAACTCAATAATAGAGGTTTCTGCTTTATTATTACAAAAACTTCGTCTCCTAGCTGGAGAATTGTAGTAGTAGAGAGTATTGGCAGTAGATGTGGCTGGTGTTTTGATCTGCACACTGTTGTATTCAAGATGGCACATCATACTTCAAAATCAGTAGCAAATTTATAATGAGACTTAATTATTGGTAGAGCTGAAAAGCTTTTTTGCAGGTGTACAGCTTGAGCACGTTGGCTACAGTAAACACATTTCAAAGTTTTAATAAAATTAAAAACTTCAGAGTTACTATGTGGAAAGCATCTGTAGCTTGGCAAATTTAGGTTCCTTTTGAAACTGCTAAGACTTTAAAAGTATGCATACCTCTGCATCTGCACACATCTGCATGTTACACAATTATGAAAAAAATTGTGAACTTCAAAGAAAAACAGGGGTCTGTACTTCCTTGCTAGCATTATTTTGGCATGTACGGGTACATCACAGAATCACAGAATGGTAAGGGTTGGAAGGGACCTCAGGAGATCATCTAGTCCAACCCCCCTGCTAAAGCAGGCTCACCTAGAGCATGCTACACAGGACTTCATCCAGGCGGGCTTTGAATATCTCCAGAGAAGGAGACTCCACAACCTCCCTGGGCAGCCTGTTCCAGTGCTCTGCCACCCTCAGAGTGAAGAAGTTCTTCCTCATATTCAACTGAAACCTCTCGTGTTTCAGTTTGCATCCATTGCCCCTAGTCCTGTCGCTGGACACCACTGCAAACAGACTGCTTCCGTCCTCTTGACTTCCGCCCTTAAGATATTTGTATGCGTTGATGAGATCCCCTCTCAGTCTTCTCTTCTTCAGGCTGAACAAGCCCAACTCTCTCAGCCTTTCCTCGTAGGGGAGGTGCTCCAGTCCCTTTATCATCCTAGTAGCTCTCCTCTGGACTCTTTCTAGGAGTTCCTACATGGTGGGACTTAAATCAACTGTACCTCAATATGACAATCGGGCAATTCAAAATTAATTAAATTATTACACAGATGCAGTTTGGGCAGGATTATTGTACCTTTCATAACCGTATAGTAGAAGGCAAGCAAAACTGTACAGAACATAAAGGCATTTCAGTGTACAAATAAAGAAATTGTAAAGTACCTTTGGGGTATCATGCTTTGTATATTAACAGGTGTGCGTTTGGTTGGTAAAAATATGATCTCTAGTAGACATGATTTTAATATGAGCCTTTTCCAAGAGATGGTATTACCAAAATGACAATTTCCCAGTGGAAAAAGGTACTTAACCTCTAATGTACAGACTTGTATAGGATCGAGGTAAATAAAATGTTTTTTAAAAGCTGCTTTTGATAAGTCTTATATTTGTCTAATTAGAATTTAATTCTTGCTATTCTCTTGATTAGAAATAGCTGTATGAAAGTTTGTTATTTATCAGCTATTGAAATTATTTTCTTTCCAAAATGTTACTTGGAAATAATTGGGAAATAAGATTACATGAGTCAATTAGGCCTTTCAATGCATAACTAACTTCTCACAAATTACAATCTTTTCAGTTTCTTGGCAGTACAGAAGTGGAACAGCCCAAAGGCACAGAAGTTGTAAGAGATGCTGTTAGAAAATTAAAGGTAAGAAAGCATTTTTGATGAAATATAAATGGAATGTATTCTTAATGTGTTTTCACAGATAAGACACTTTGTAAGTGTTTCTAGGTAAATTCATTGGTTCTAGAAGCAGTTGCTTTTACACGCCTCTTCACTCGTGTGTAGGCATTCCCATATCATGTCTATATTATCAGTTGTTCTGTTGTACGTATATTTAGTTGTCACCTAGATTACACAATTATTTTTAGGATAAGATTTGTGTACCTTAATGTGTAATGATTGTTCTTGGGAAACTTGAGGGCTTCATTAATTCTAACTTAGGTAATAATAGTTTGGTTTAGCTGCCATTCTCATTTTATGGCTACTGAATGCCATCTAATTATGGCACTCCAAACACGTCGTCAGAGAATTTAATAAAATAAACTCTTCGTTGACTGAATACCTAGCGACGTTAGCAATGCCTGTCCCGCATTTCGTTGGGCTGTGCGGTGCTTCCTGTGACCCCCAGTTGGGTGAGTTGCCCCTTTTTGCAAAACACAGAGTACCCACCCACTTCAGGTAAGCTGTTGGTGCCAGAGGACAGGAGTAAGAATGTCAAACCACACTGTAGATGGGCTGTGATAGCTCCATGGGTACTGGCTGTGCCTGGCTGCTCTTCAGATGAAGCTAAACATGTCTGATCCATGTAAACTGTTCGACTGGAGGTGAAGGTTGATGACACCAGCATGAATGTCATTCACCCTCCAGCTGTGATAAGTGGTGATATATCTGGAAATAGAGCTGTAGTGAGAGAATAGGGTTTACAAACCAATGTAAAACTGCTTATGACAAGGGGCATTACTGCCTTGTCTTCCAGGTCTTCATGTTTTGTTGGAATAGGTCTGTGTGCACAAACACTGTCTATGTGCTGGTGCACATAGATGTCTGAGAAAATCAGACATTTACAATTTCTTCTAGAATGTCAAACCACACTGTAGATGGGCTGTGATTATATGGTTATATGTTCTTAAGTACTGAGGGACTTGGTAGACAATTGGAAAAGTGTCCTAGCACAATGACCAGAAAGAGACAGGAAAATTAAGTGTGTTCATGGTATGCTAATATTCTTTCATTTTAGCCTTACCACTTGGTAGTTACGAACTTGTTAAGGGTTGCTAAATGATAACACAGCTTTGACTTGACTGGCTGAGTGACAGCTAATATGCTCAAAGTTCTTCAGATGCTATGAGTTGTGCCAGGGAATGCTGATTTAATTTGTCTGCTAACTCACATTGCAGGGGAATTGCACTGTTCCATGCTTAGCTGCTTAGAGCTTTTGGAGCATTAGTTAATTTAGATGTAAAAATTGTTCTGCCTACTACGCTACTGTACTTCCTATATTTTTTTTGTAGGGTTTTCAGTATTCATTTAAACAGAAATTCCTCAGAAATGGACAGAAAATTTTGGGAATCGATATTAAAAAACTTGATTCTGTGTTATTACTATAATAAAAAGGAAGAAAGAAGGCATGAAACACTGTTCACGTAGCTCAGCTTTTAAGATTGAGATTTACGTTTAAAATTAATCAAGATTGATTAGTAATTGTGTTAAGGAATTGAAACAGAAGTTCTTTGCCGTTATTTTCGCTCTACCAAAATAGTACAGCTGCCTTTAAAGGTTAGCTTAGTCAATTCTTAGAATGGCTTATGCCACAAAGATTTACTCTGCTGCAGTTTGTCAGAGACGTTATTGCCTCGTTCTTCTCAAGTGGTTTAGGCTAATGTAAGTATGACCCTTTTCTAACCATTGCAGCATGCTACCAGTGGAAACAGAAGGTATGGTTTTCTGTGCTCCTCATGAAGTTTACAGATAATACTGGAGTGAAGCCTGTTGTGTTTGATGTTTTGTGTTTATAAAATTCCATTACCCTGAGCAAAGTTAATTCTGTGCAGAAATCTGTCAAGATAATATCCTGCTATGGAGAAAGTTTTGATTCTATTTTAATGATGTTTTATCAGACTCCTTCTAAGTAAAGCAGCTCCTAAGTGTCTCTGTCTGACTGATGGAAGTCCAGGCTAGCCTGAGCTCTCACTGATCACTAGAAGGAAGTTTTTGGTAGGCTGGATTATATGATTTGGTACCTTAAAATTGCTTTGAAAGCAGATCCAAAAAGGATTTCAAATAACTTTTCTCTGAAGTGTAGAAAGAGCCAGAACTATTTTATTTTTTGGGGGGAAAAAACAGCCTAGCACTAAAATATAAAGGTAGCAATTTTTTGTATATTCTTGCGGTGTCATTGGAGTATGTAGATACCTGTTCTAACTCGTACACATGTTCCCTAAATAAACCACCTTAGACGTATGTGTCCAAATTGTTGCTGCCAGGATTACACTATTTTCTTCAAGTTTGCAAGTTTGGAGCTTAGATGCCAAGTACTACATGGAATCTTATGTAAGCACAAGTTTATTAGAAAACTCAAAAAGTAATTAAAGACAACTTTTGGAAAGACTTGACAAAATCTCGGAACAGAATTCAGAAAGCAATAAAGAGGTTTTATGTTTGAAACAATCCTCAATTAATTGAATAATCATTTCAACGTTGATTTATGTTCTGCATCTGAATTCTTTGAAGAGAAGCCTAGAGGTACTGGATTTTATTATTAACCACACATCTCTAGCTTGGTTTTAGAAAATGTTAATTAAAAATTTTAAACCAGTGAAAAGAGATTGAAAACTAATGTCTTATATTGGAAGAAAACATATGTAGTGGTTTTGGGAGTAAGGAGAGTTTTTAAAAGATGGGTAGCTTGTGATGCTATATTTTCATCTTTTTATTATATGGATTTGGTTTTAATCACAATGTTAATCATAATTTGTTTTTAATGAAAATTAATAGCTAGCAGAAAAACAGCTGACTTTTTCTTAATATTTGGAGCTATTTTTACAACTGGCATGCATCGCACTAATAACCTTTTGAAGTCATGTACTTACAGTGATATATAGACCGTGAAATACTGTCATTGTAAACTATTTTTCTTAAGCCATCATGTCATCAAACTATGTCAGAGTAGACATTTGATAGATAACTCTTTACTTCTTAAAATCAAAAGCTCTTAACTCATACAGCACAAAGACTTTTCGGTTGCCAAACAGAGGTTTGTGCAAACCTGTAGCACACCACTCCAGGAACTTAATTTTACCAGCAGGTGGAGCTGATGTTCTACAGTAAAAATACAATAGCTTGGAGGAAATTTTTCTTGATGCTTCATTGTGCTTGTTTTATACCAAATACTACTACATTTTATAAACACTTCATAATTTTTCTGGGTCAATTGCACTTTGAATATACCGTTGTTTCAAGCATCTATGTTTAATTTTTCTAGAGGATTGTCTAGAGTTTTTATTTAGTTGGGATTTGCCCTCATGTTTTCAAATTTTTTGGGGCAGTGCTACAGGAGAAAGAAGGAAGTTGGATGCTAATGTTTTAAAATGTGTATTTTTATTTCTAAGATAAGGTGAACTGTCCTCGTAGTTTATGACAAACAATTTTTTCCTTCCAGTTTTCTAGTCAAACTAATTTCTAGAATGAAATAAAACCTAAGGAAAATGGTACCAAGATGTTGTATCAGAAAATGCCTATGCTATTCAAATGTGTAAAAGTTGTCAAATCACACTTTGTGTTATAAAGCAAAATTACTACTGTCCTTGATTATGGAAGGATATAATTTCTAAATCAGACTGTAGGAATTAATTCGGTCCTTCTCAAAACGTGCTTGAAGGGTTGCCAGAGGTGAGAACAGCTGGGAAGATCAGCATAGCAGATAGAAAAGGCAGCATAACCGAAAGCTAGTAAGAAAACAGCATGGAGGGGTGTTAGGGAAAAACCAGAAGTAAACACTTGAGTTTTGGGCTGTTCCTTTTACAGTCTTCAAGGGGATGTTTTTGTGAGGACCAAACTTAAGGCTGTTCTCATACCCAGCTTCCAACTCAGCCTCCTTTTCTCCTCCTCTTTTCTTCTGTAAGCGGAGATGACCAGAGATAATGTAAATAGAATTAAACACTCTGAAACCACTTGAAATATTCTTCAGCTCCTTGACCCTCAAGGATACACAAAGTGAAGAGTGTGGTCTTTCACGCACTACCACACAAGCTGTGATGCTGTCCTGATGCTGCCATGAATGGACCAGCAGTGGGTATTGTTCTGAGCACCCTTTCCTGGTAAAGCTGGGTTTCATTTGCTGTTGAAAGGACAGAGGAGGGTGGAGTACAGAACATCTTTTAATATTGGGATAAAGAGGTTTCTGGTTGAGCCTTACAGCCATGGCTGTTCCCTTTGAAGTACTGAATAAAACAGAATGTGTGGTTCAGGACCAGGCAGGGACAGCCTGAAGTAGATCAGATGAGAAGAGATGAAGAAGAGACTACCTGTTCACAGCCTCTCTCTCAAAACCAAAAACCCCCAACCCCCCAAAACAAACAAACAAACAAAAAAAAAACTAAACCAAAAAACTCAACAAACAAAAAAACCCAACCAAAAAACCACCACCAGAAAACCCAATAAACCCCCAAATTTCACACCACCAACCAAACCAAACAAACAAACAAAAACCCCAAAACAAGTATTAAAAAAAAAAAATCCCAGCACCATCACCCCCCAAACCAAACCAAAAAACCCTTTCAGGGAGTGAGATGGAGAAAAGACTGTACTGCACCATCGTTTCCACTGTGATTAATAGACCAATAATAGCCTTCCCCTCAGTCCAGTGTGTGTTTGGAAAATAAAATACAACATATTCCATAGAAATGGATTTCTGAAACAGCTTTTCCCTACCCAGCTGATTAGCAAGAGATTCAAGTTCACACGTGTGTGTGGCCTTTTCATCCTTTTCTTCTTCTTGACAGCTATTTTTCAGAGGTCATAATTTCTTTATACCCACATAAAACATGCATGAGAGTTTGGGCCGCCTTATGGCCAAAAAGATGATATGTAGTTCACTGCAAAAGAAATAGGACCTACTTTTTTTTTCAGACATCTTCCCTTATAAT